AACAGCAGCAGCTGAAGGATGGAAACTAATTTTGACTAAGAAACGCAGCAGAAGCCTCGCTTTCGCCTCAAAAGCAATTTTTAATTACAACTGAACTGAAATTTATGTGAAAACTTGGTTCGAAAAAAACACAGCAGAGAGAGAGAGAAAAATGCGAGCAGAGCAGAGAAAAAACGTACACAAAGAAGAAGAAGAACATCGTTCTTGTTGCTGTTGAGTAAGAGAAGAATCTGTGCAAAGGAAATCGACATGCAGATTAAAAGGAAGTTGCATGCAACACAGGACGTCGACGTGGACGTGGCAAGCAAAAAAATTCGATTATCTGCAAGAGGAAAACTGTAATTAAATCTATGGGGTTTTCCTCCACACACACATACACACACACAGAGCCAAAGAAAATGTGAGAATGAAAAAAAAAAAAAACAAAAATGAGAGAGAGTAAAAGAAATGAAGAGGAAAAAAAAGAACGAATGCAACGAAATCACGTAAAGCAAACTAATACCGCAACAAGGCGTGCAGATTGCAGGCAACGCACACACACACACACACAGAGACAGCCAGGAGTCCTGCGAGTCCTGCTCAGCGGCGAGCCTGCGCAGCAAAGTGGGCGTCGTTCTTGGTCTTTAGTGGCAGGGATTAAAAGCGAGCCAAATGGCAGCAGCTTAGACCGCAGCCACAGCAGCAGCAGCAGCAGCAGCGGCTCGGACCCACTGCGCTAGTCTTGCGCCTCCTGCTAGACACACTCAGCCCAACCCCGAACCCTTCCTAGCTGCAGCCCCAAAAGAAGAGGCTTCATTAGCATACACAGCAATTCACTCTAAAAAAAAAAAAAAAAAAAGTTGACGGAAAAAACTAAAGAGACAAACGTTTCTGTCGGTTGCGGGCGGCTTATATGCATGTGCCACGCCTACGGCCAGCGCCCATGCCACATGCCATGGATACAGTTGCGGGCAAATGAACAAACGCCAAGAAGAATGCGGTGAAAAAAATCTAGGCAAAAAAAAGTCGCATAAAAAAACCGTAGCGTATGAAAAGACAGCGCAATGAAGAGCGCTGCAACGTGGCAGCTTGCCTGCCTGGCTGCCTGGCTGCCACGGCTTGCTGCAAGATGCCAACTAACTCAAACTCCCGAGATGCGCACCTGAGCGCAGCGCCGCACAGGACGCAGCTTTGACTGCCGGAAATGAACATTGGAGTTGCGACCCAGTCTCCGGCCAGCTAAATAACGTCGCAGCTGCAGCTGCACAGCCCCTGTCCCTGGCCCCTCCGCCTGCCCCATAGTCGTCTTCATCTGCCGCCCCCCCCTTTTTCACCTGCCCGCTCCAGCACACAAAAGAAATTAATTTCATTTTTTTTGTTCGCCTCGCACATTTCTTGTTCTTCCATAGCCACTCGATGTTTTGTTTCTGTTTCTTTCATTCTTTCTTTTTATTATTTCTATCTTTCTGCCCCGTCTAAAAAGGAACATTTTTGCAGCTAAACCAAACATTGATTGTCAGCTGTGGCAGCCCCACACACACACACACACACAAATAGAGGGAGCGGCGCCACAAGCCTTTGCAAGCAAAGATGAACAACGGGGGCACACGACATAGTCAGCTTGATAATGAATTTAATGATGATCATCATGATGATGAAGCTGATGATAATGATGATAATTCCGGCCTTAAATTTACAATAGCTGCCAGCTGGGCCAAGCGAAATGTCACAGATATTTGTGCTTTTATCCTAAATATAGCTCAACTTTTAATGCACTTCACAGAGCTTTAACAGGCAGGATAACTCTAATCGGAAAATACTCTGAGCCCAGAATTCGGTAAAATGTAGACCTAACCAAAAAAGAAATGTCAAAAACTAAAAATTATATAAATTAATCAAAAAACTAAATTGAGCAGCTGGGAAACTGACGTAGGAGATTTAATAAATAAAAAAAATAATAATAATAAAATATTATTAGATTTAATAAATAAAAAAAAAGAATATATGCCATGAATCCTTCTACATGATACCCTGCTTTATACCCTGTTTTCCCATTTTCAAGGGCTTTAGGAGGGAAGGAATATATAAGAATATATAAGGAATATATATAAGCTAAAGATTTAGGCAAAATCATAGTTTCATAAATTTCCTCATTTATTAAATTGATCAAATGCCACGACTTCTTGTCACATACCCCATCTCCGAGTTAGAGTATAAAAAAAAAAAAAAAAGGCGAAATAGCTATGTTTTCAACTTCGACGTTACACGACGCGTATGCGCAACAAAAAGAAGCAGGAAAGAATAGAAAGAACAAAAAAAACGCCAAAAAAAAAAAAAAAAATGGCCTGGGCGCGGAAGTAAATGAAGATTCTCCGGCTATAAAGTGTCTCCACTGTGCAACAAGAGCGCCAGCTGCAACAACAACAACAACAAGAACAGCAACAACAACAACTGAGCAACATTTGAGTTACGGAAATGAAACGTCAGGCCAGGCTCCGAGCAACCAGCGCCGGAACGAAACATAGCTCTGTGTCCCTGTGTGTGTGTGTGTTTGGGCTCAGGAGTAGCTACCGAGCTACAGTTACATTTACAGTTACAATACACAGCCAGGCAGCCAGGCACTCAGCCGGGGCCTCTGTTGCAGCCATTTGAGCAATTGGGCGTTGCTGTCCGCCTGCATAGCCAAAGCGTAGCAACAGTCGTCGAAGAAGAAGAAGAAAAAGGAATAGCAGCACCAGCACCAGCAGCAGCATCAACAATAACAACAACAACAACAACAACAACAACAACAACAACTAGCAACTGTTGTTGCTTGGCAGACGTTCCATGTACGCTGAATGATGTTTAGGTTAAATGGCATTGCCGTGGAGAGCACGCACAAAGCACTGTCCGCCATGTTGTTTGCTACGCAGCTGTAGCTTACCGTCCTCTATATGTATGCATGACTACCATATTCGCCATCTCGCTTGCACTCGCATTGTCATGCAAAGTCCATGTACGACAAAAAAAAAACACAAAAAAACCCAGCCCACACTCGTTGGACTTTGGCTTTTGGGTTTAAAGCTTCCTGCTACGTGACCATCAGGCTGCCCAATCTCTCGCTCTCTTTTGCCCCCCTCCCCCTTTCTCATTTCTCCTTTTTCTTTATTTTTGCATATGATGCAGGTGTCTGACATTGCGTGTATGTGTGTGTGTTTGTGTGTTTGCAATTTACTAACTGCTTTTCAGCTTTGCGAAAAACCGCAACATTTGTCGCCGTTCCTTTTACGGTGCTGCTTCTTCTATGCTGGCTTCGTCCATGTTTACACAATTACAAAAAATAGAAAAACACAAAACAAGAAAAAACCGTAGCCAACAACATGTGGACGACGCGTCGCCGTTGACGTCGCTGCCGGCGTAGTTGTAGCTGCTTGCATTTTAATTAAAAATTCTTCAAAAATTTGCTTTGTGTTTGCCCGTTTGCTCTACCAATAATATCCTTCAAGTTGTTGTAGTTGCTGCTGTTGCTAGCCACCTAAAAGTAGACCACATATTTTTAATTTAACTGCAACAACGTTTGACCAGTTGCAAAGCTTGCCACCACAGGATAAAACAGCACAGCACACAAAAAAAAGATCCGATTTAGCATCATAAAAAAACTTGAAAACTTTGCTTAAAGTTATCCCTAAGAATCTCCTTAAATTCTGCTATTAATCAAACTCTCTTAAGGTGGAAGTACCTTCTTAAGACTGCTCTTAGAGATTCCAATTGATCTCATTTTAATTGAAAACCAATAAGCGCTCTCTTTAGATACTTCAAATGTCAGCTCTTAATGACAATTAAAACTAAACAGCAGCTGCTCTCTTTGCTAGTGCTGCTCTCTTTACACTTTACTACGCATAAAAATGCTCGCATTCTTCTACTTAAAGCAATCCGTTAGACGACGCACACACAGCAAAGCAATAAAAACAAACGTCATATTTGAACTTGAAGACGCTTAAGTAATAAAAAAAAATAAAAGAAAAGCTAAAAGAGTGCACGCAATGAATGAAATGAAAACTTAAAGAAGCAAACAGCAAAAGTTGCACAGAAAACGGCGACGCGTAGGTGAAGCAGAGCAGCGAAATAAAAAGAAGTCGCCGCGTCGCAACTGCTGCACATTGAGGAAGTTTGAATTATCAAAATACTCAGCAGACAACACGTTCACAAACACTCTCATACACACACACACATTTATACAAACCAGATAGCGAATGAAAAACATATGAGCAAAGGGAGAGCAGGAGACCGGCAGACGGCAGCAGCAGCTGACTGACGAAAATAGTACGCGGCGATAGGATAACCAAAGCAAAAATGGCAAAATTTTCGTCAATGTGTGTGTGTGAGAGAGTGTGTCTGAAAATCAGCCGCTAAAGCGGCCGGCATTTTTATTATTATTATTATATGTTATGTTATGTGTATTTTCGCTTTGCGCTCTTTCGCTTTTTTGAACTCTGCTTTTACACGCTTTATACTTTTATTTACATTGCGCGACGGGCAACGCCACAGACGCTGCTGCTGCTCAGCCTCAGTCTCAGCTAACGTCGACGCCGCTGTCGCTGTCGCTTTTTGCTATTTTATTACTCGGTCGCTCGGTCACATGAGCGAGTTTTCGCGTCTTCCACTTTGCCACTTTACTTTACATTACGTTACTTTACTTTAGCTTCTGCTACAGCTGCTGTCGCTGCCGCTACTTCTGCTCCTGCTGCTGCTACTGCATGTTCTGCTACTTCTTCTTCGCGCTTTCTATCTTTGCTCTGCCGGCGTCGCCACGTATGTGTGAGTGTTTGTTGTGTTTGATTTTCGAGTCTTTTATTTTGATTCCCAGCTACTTTTGTAGGATTTTATCTTCTCTCTTCATGCTTTTGTTGTTGCTATAGGTCGAATCGCAACGCTTTCGTTTTCATAATATTGCCATTGCCTATGTACAGGCGCACACATTGTGAACATTTGAAATACTGCAAGTATTTAAATATTTTATAATTTTTCACAACAATTAACTTGTGCGCAACATCTGCAATGCAAACAATACAGCCTATGTACAGCCAAAAAAAAAAAGGGTTGTACATAAGAACCCAATCCAATCAGATAAAAAACTTCTCCACGCAAGCAACAATCGCTGCCAGGCGCCACTGTAAAAAAAGAAAGAGACAGCCCAACATCATCAGCGAAAACGACAATTCAAACACAACGCTGACCATTTGGCTTCTCTTTTTCTTTACTCATAGCAAAATTTTATACACAACGGCAAAAAAAAAAGTACCTAAAGCGCAAAAGGGGACATTTTAGCAGCTGTATAGGTAATTAATAATTCCCCAAAATTCAAGGGATATTTAGAGAGAACTTGATTTACACGTATGTATAACAGAAAAATTAAATATAAATAAATGTAAAAAATATATATATTTAAAATATACAAAAAATATATATGATTTAAATAAAACAAATTCGCTTAAATAAACAAAATCAAAGCCTCAGAATATCTTTTGTGCATATGTGCATTAACATTTCCCCAATTAATTTCTGTCTCTTTCTCTGTCCATCTTGTATTCTCCTTTTTATTGTCTTTCTTTGTGCCACCTTCTTAAACGTTTTAATTGTTAGCTTTTGCTCAATTGCTCAATGCTTGCATTTGTCAATTTCAGCTGTATTGATGAGCGCTGGGCACAATCCCAAATCCCCATTCTGCCTCCACTACAATCCTTTACCGCTAGCCAAACAGACAAGCGAACAATGTTATATAGACACTCCCACACACACGCACACACACACATACAAGTATACCTATACATGTATACTATATATAATTACATAAAAGTCAGAAGCTATTGCAAAAAAAAAAAGGAGTAAAACCCACATCAGCCCAGGCAAGTTCTCTAAGCGCCAAATGGAAAAATCCCTCGTTTTAATTTCTCTTTAGCGCACCCAAAAAAAGGAAAAAAAAAAGGAGCAGCAACAACAATAACATGAAGCAGCAGAACAGCTGAAACAGAGCGAGAAAAATGCGAGCAAGCAACCTCGAGCGGACCCAAACCACCCACTCACAACTACTAAATAACCGATATTTTTTTTTTTTTTTTTTTTTTTTGAGCAACGTTTCAACTCATCAGCAGTTTTTTCGTTGTTGTTGTTGTTGCTTGGGTGGATTTTTATTTCTCAACTAATCCCATGCCCAGCAGACGTCGCGTCTCGGGGCACACCCTCTCTGATTTCGTGACGCCGCCCGCCTCTCAAATGCCGCGCCCACTTTTACCAACGTCGACAATTTTGTCGTTGTTGTTGTTGGTTTTGTTGCTGTTGTTGGTGTTGGCAAAAAGATATAGATTACATTTGTGTTGCTTTCAGCTCCAAAAAAATATATATACATATATATATGCTACATATATTTTATATATATATCTAGCCACATGGCTATATGTATCTAGAGTAGAAAAAAAAAAGGTTTGCGTTTTGGTTTCGATTCTATTTTTTTTTTTTTTTGCGCCCCATTTTCGCGTTGCTTCATTTAGCTCGCTGGCCGAGGTCCTCCCAGCAATCCTTTGGCTCCCCACGAGCTACCTTCTCCCTCTCTCTGTCTCCCTCTCTCTACCTCTCTCTCTCTGTTGCACCAATTAAAACCATATCAAAATCCAACCAAACGCAAGAGTCGAGCATCACACAGAACGCAATAGACCAAACTAACAATTGTCAATTTTCAACTATTGAAGATTCCAGAGAACCGTTAGTTTGCTAAACTAGTACACACACTGTTTTTCCCCCTCTCTGTATGTGTTTGAATTTTCCAGAATATTCAATACTTTGCTTTGACTATATGCTGATTGTTGCTCGGATTTCAAAACCAACTTTTGTGGACTACAATATAATAAATATTTGTTACCTTTCTATGCAATTCTCACGAACTTCAAATCGCAGCTTACTATATATTAGATTCCTTTTAAATATTTGCAATTTTACTCTCCATCAAAATATCTTTTATCCAAACAATTTTCATAGAGATTTTCCCGTTAAATATTGCTGCCACACTTTTCCATAAATCGCAAATCAAAGAAAATCTGTTTTTCGAACTTAACGAAAGAAATTCTAAACAAATTTTTGGCAACTTTGCGGAAGTTACATGAGTCGGAGAATTGAAAAACTTTCAGGTGCTCAAGATCCAATAAATACACTTGCATTTAAAAGATGTTCCAAGTGATAAACAGGAGGAGTTCTATTGAATAATATGTTGACGTAAACTTCAGGAATTTCCACCCAACTCTCGATGTGTGTTCGTCTTTGAAGCTGCCGTCTAGCTGTGACTGCGGAACTGTGATTGATGTTCTTCTTGGACGCGTGCCCGTACGGACCGCACCACCCACCCCCCCCCCATCCCCCTCGCCCTGCTCAAACACCGCCCACTATGGCCCGCACACAACAAAGTCGATCGATTAAAGGCCAAAGTAAAACCTTAACAGGAAACTTACAGAAAGCCACCCTTAAAAAAAAAAAAAAAAAAGAAATCAACTCGCCTCTGGGCTGCGGGGGGGATTGTTAAATCTCAGGCAAGAGAAAAAAGCGAGAAAAAAAATACAAAAAACAAATAAAAGAATAAAGCAGAGAAATGGGAGAGACAGTGAGAGAGAGCGAGAGAGGGAGAGAGAAGTCGCGCGCTGCCCAGTTGTTTTTACATTTCTTGTGATTTTCTTAAATAAATTTGCCTGCGCAAGGGCTGTGGAGGGGCGCGGTGCGTGTCGGCCGGTGGTGGAGGGGGGTTGGGCACAACCCTCAACTCATTTAAGCACTAAAAAGAAATTAAGAAGTAGCCGCCGTTTGCAGCGCAAATGAATGCAAAAGAAAAATAAATACAAGAAACAGAAAGAAAAAAAAACGTGGAGAAAGAATAAAAAGAAAATAAGAAAAACAAATTGAAAAATATAAAAATCACAGCCTCGGAAATACCCTGATTACGCTATCTGTGTAAGCTGGCTGTGTGTGTGTGTGTGTGTGTGTGTGTGCTCAAGTGTAAGCCGCCCCACTCAACTACAACTGCACAACTGCACACACACACACACACACACACACTCGCACACACACACAGTGTAAGCTCCATTTCCATTCGCACAGCTCAATAGGCCTTGTGATAAGCGCTTTGCACACTTCCCCCACTCACAACATCTCCTCACCCCCATCTCAGCCATCTACTAGGGGTGGGGTTTATGTTGGCCATGGGGCACAATGCACCCGCACTGACTGGCCGGCCGATTCGCTGTTTGGGACTTGATAACCCGCTATTGTATACACAAAAGCTGTAGAGCAACCGGCGCATAATCGTTCTGTGTGTGTGTGTGTGTGTGTGTGTGTGTACCCCTCCCGCACCATCTCGCTTCCACTGCCTACAATCACCCTTTTGCCTCTTCACTGACTCTGGGGCTTGGGGCTTGATTTTTCTTGCTCAACTTAAGCGTTTTTGCTCTCATTGTTGTTGTTGTTGTTGCTGTTGTTGTTGCATAGTTTTGCTTGTGCACAGCTGTGGCCCCAGCTACGACCCCCCCAACTCACTCCATCCCTACCTCTCACCTCGCCACCCATGGTCCCTTTTGGACAGGCTCGTTCATGTCAATTCATGTCAGCTCAGACAAACCGATTTTGGCTTTGGCTTTGCGGCGTTCCAAAAACCCATTGGCTTTTGTTTATATATTCATTTGTTGTTGTTGTTGTTGTAGTTGTTTGGTGATCATTTGATTTGTGCTCGCGAATTACATACCCTGTAAAGCTTGAGCTTAAGCTAGACAGTTGCATCATTTCACGGTAAACAGAAGAGAACTAAATTAGAGCAAAATATTGTGAGGTGAATGAATTACATAGACATGATCGGCCAGAAGATACCCTGGAATTTTTTATAGGACTAACATTTATAAAATAGACAACAGCAAACTAAGAGACTGTAATAATACTAGCACCTGCCCTGTTTATTTGTAGAATTAGGTCTAGTCAATTATATGCACATTGCAAACGGTAATTATGCCAAAATGATCATAAAAAGCTAATTATCAAAATTGCACGACTAGCGAATACCCTATACACCCACAGCATTGCAGATCTCTAGATGCTTCGATGCGAGTGGAAGGATTATGAATAGTTCCATGGTAAGCAAAGATTTATATGCTACGTTAAATGCTCGACTGACAAATACTCTATAAATTATTATAAAAACTATTTCTAGACAACACCAAAGACATGACAACTAAGGAATCAAACCACCTCGCACACACATTTTTACTATTTATTAAATTTATTTATTTATTTTTTTTTTTTTTTTTTTTACTAAAAAGTCTTCTTAGTTGTGAGTTTTTCGCAGCAGCTGTTGCCGCCACTTTGCTGCACAACACTTGGTAAACTTTGACGCTTCTCTTGATGGCTCAACTTAACTTATCTATTGATTCTGCTTCTTTTTTTGCCTTTTGCAACACTGCGCTTTTAAGAAATATCGATTAGCATCCGATTGAGGTTTTTTTTTATATTGACTCAAATTCACTTTGGCATGCTTAAGCAAAAATATATAATAAAACAAAATTTTAAAAGAAATTTTGAAAGACTTGCAGATATCCTATATATTGTATAAGCACATAGAAATTTCTAGTTTGTGCTTAAAGCTTTTTTAGTTGAAGCAAATTTTAACTAAGATGGGATTTTGCATTTCTCACTTTTCTAAAGATATTTATGGTAAAATTTGATTTTGCATCATTTTTATGGTATACTAAAAATTGCTATTTTTTAAGAATTGTTAACTTAGAACTTGCATAAGAAGAGCTTAAATAGCTTTAAATATTGTATGCTCTAAAGCATAATTTCACAGAATCCAAACCAACTTTTTTCCTTCATATTTATAATTTTGATTAAACAAACTTCAAACATAATTTTTTCTTAAGCCTTTGCAAAAGTTTTTTAAAAGAAAAACAAATATTATATTGCAGCATGCTAAAAGCTCTTCATTGTGTGTGATTTTTGGCATTATGTTAGTGGTTTTTAGTGACCATAACTTTCACATTATGGGCACGAAAACGTCCAAAACGAGACCTCAATTGGTGGCTATTGGAAAAACCTTAAGAAAAAATACAACAACTACAACAAATAAACACAAACAGGCAACGGCTATGTAACTTAACTTTTGGGTGTGCCAAAGCAGCCCAATAAGAAAAATGAAGGGAGAAACTGACCAAAAACAAAAAAATCGCTCAGTTTCATTGGCTTTCACGTTTTTTTAAGCTCTTATATATATTTATATATATAAACGTGTATATATTTATATACTTTTTTTTTTGGTATTTTTTGTCCGTTATTATGTCTCAGTTTTGTTTCTGATGGTCGCTAATTGCGAACGAGCGCAACTAAGAGATTGGCAACGAAGGCCCGTGCGTGCAAAAGGGCGAGAGAGGGCGAGGGGCAAGGAGAGAGGCGTATAGTCTATTAAGGGTGTGGTGTGTGTATGTGTGTGTGCGCCTAATTAATGGCATTATTTGATGGGACATGACAAGGCATGCCAAGCCCTTGGAAAGGTGCGTAAAACTAAATGGAGAAAAAAATAAAAGAAAGCCAAAAAAAGTCAGAAAGTTGAACTTGAAAAGCGCCCGCGGATAGGCAACATTTTAAGGGACTTTTTTGACAAATTCCCAAAAGTTTGCTTATATATAAGCTCCCAATCAATTTGCACGCAAACAAAAATTCCTTTCAAAGAGTGTCACTCTTTGAGCATATGTCAAAGGGAAATTCTGATTAGATTCAAGCGAAAAAAAACATACCTTAGGCAATTAGATCATTTAATCCTCGTGCGCAGCTTTTCTTGTGCTTGTTTCTCTCTTGTGAGTTAAAATAACGTAGTTTTATTGTTGTAGAGTCGGTTGGACAAATTGTAGTAGACGACGTGACGGAATCAATTGCATACAATTATATATTAAATTCTGATTTCGTTGTATGTGTAAGGATATATATTGTGTAAGACCCAAACGAAAGAGAAAATATATAGATATGCACACCAAAAACTTCTGCTTCTTTACATATATATGTATATGGATATATATGGATATATATTAAAAATATATTATATGCATGTATTTTTAAATAATAAACAATAATATATGTATGTATGTAATTATAAGAACGCGCGCACAAAACGGAGATATGGAGAGCAAAATGGACGCAATTGTTGCGATTAGTTGTAAAAAGACTATCTGTATGTGTGTAAGAGTGTACGTAAGAGCTTTAGTGTAAGTGAAGTGGATGCGTTAAGTATTTTTTGGGGATTTTTTTTTTTTTTTGGTTTGTTTTAGTTTAATGTTTGTCAACACGTGACTTTAATTTGCACAAGATTTGGTTTTTATATTTCTTTATGTTATTTTGTTGCTTGCTATAATGAAAATTGAATTAATGAGAAATGCTGAAAAGGCAAAATATTAACTGTATAAAACGAGAGAAAGAGAGACAGAGATGCTGCACAAAGCTGCGACACCATCTGGCAGGCAAATCAAAAAAAGAAATATAACAAAAACATAAATAGAGCGCGCCTAGTTCAATAAACCGTAATGCGAGAGCTGGAGAGCGGCGCGCAAAGTCAAAACACACGCGAATAACGCGGCAAAAGGCAAATGCACATAAAATAAATACGAAATATGTATATAAAAAAATAAGGAAAAATAATCATAAAAAGTAAAGCGCGCAGTCAGCAGGCGACAGCGGCGGCGGCGGCGACGGCACTTGTCACACTCATACACAGACACACACACATACCAGCACATGTCAAAAACTTGCAAGGCGCAGCTAAAGCAGCAGCAGCAGCAGCAGCAGTACCAGCGACAGCGACGCAACGTCAACGTCATACGAAAAGGAATGTTGCGGCAGCGACATGTGTTTGATGTATGCAGCCAGCCAGGCCGCACACATACACACAGTGTGTGTCAGAGGGAATGCCTCTTTACGTTTACTACGTAATGCCGAAAAGAAACGTAAGTCGCTTAAGCTGTGCCCCAAGTTGAATTCTTATACGTTTCGCGGTATTTCTTTTCGCCTGCTGTTTTGTTCTTATTGGACTGCTGCTGCCGCTGCTGCTCCTACTAAAGCTTGTTTGTTCTTATTGGGGGAAGCCAGACAGCGGTCTGTCTGCGCTGATTTTGTGCTTGCTAATGTGTGTAGGTGTGTGTTATTGTGTTTGCGTATGTGTGTGTAAATATTTATATGTGCATACGCGCGCGAACTTGAATTTATGCAAAAATAAGCAGCTAAAAGAGGCTGCCACATGAGGCGCTGGCAGCGACACACTAACGGTACACGAACTGGGGACCGAGTTTTATTTTTAAGCACTTTTTTCGGCCAGTTTAAATTTGATTTGCTTGCAGCGGAACTCGCAGAATTTACGTTTCGGATAATTAAAGGGACTGACTACATATGGGAAATGAGGGGGAGGTAGGTTGGGGTTGCTGAAACGCAGCGGTCCAATTGGCAATGTATGTACGTCCAATTGGAAATGACGGCGACGAACAGACGACGACGGCTGAAGGCAAGCGACAAACATCAAACGGCGGACGGTGCAAATAGTACGCGATAATTACAGCAACGTGGCGGCGACCGAGTGTCCGATCGAAGCAAGACCCACCGAGTACAAATGTTGTCTGATGGCTGGCAACGGCAAAGTTGGCAGCATTGACCGTCGTCGCTGCCGCTGCGGCGCAAAGAAAGAAAGAAAAAAACACAAGAAAAGGCAACGGCAACAGCAGCGACGGCGGCGACAGCGGCAGCGCCAGCGTGTGAGCGAATGCAGACACACACACACACTCACAGACACGCCGATATTACACACACACACACACACATACAGTTACATACATATGCGACAGAACGATGAACGATGATGATGAACCGAATTACAAATAAAAGATGATGCCAAAAGACGACGACGTCTACGTTGACTGCGACGACAACGATTAGCAAACAGCCAGGCGCAAGGAGCAAAAGCATACACATACAACCACACACCCACACGCTCAGCAACACTCAAACACACACACACTCCCATACACCCATACACACAAAGTAGCAGCGCCAGCGAAAAAAAATCGGTCGCAATCGGAAAAAATTGCAGAGCGTAGCCGCTCTCTGCACATAAAAAGAGAAAAAAAAACATAAGCAAGCCGCAACTCACACAAACTCACACACACACACCCAACCGACAGAGACGTACTCAAGCATACAACAACAAAAACATAAGCAGCAAGCAGTACAAAAAAATCGAAGCAGCGAAAAAATGAGAAGAAACACTGAGAGCAGCAGCAGCAGTAGCAGCGCCGGCAACGCCAACAACAACCACAAAGAGCTCAGCAAGAAAGCTTGAAAAAAATTGCGGCACAACACGCGCACCGTGGGCCGCGCTCTCTCGAAACGTAAACGAAACTCTTGCAGACAACAACAATTTGCATTATTGATGAGCAGCGTGAGTCGGTCGTAGGCGCCACCCATCCAACCCCACACATATATTTCTTAACAAACTTGCGGCAAACTTACAAGTGTGTGTGTCTGTGTATGAGTGTGTATGTGTGCGAGTGAGTGAGACAGTGCGCATACATAAGAGAACCTCCACGTGGGGCTGAGTATGTGGGTGGTTGGGTGGTTGTTTGTATGGCGGGTGCCAAGTATATAACACCCTTAGAAAATGACCAACACTGACCAGGCCACCAAATGCGACGATGTACGCCCATTAACTGGAGATGAATTCGCTTGGCCATGATTTGTGTTGGGTTGACACCCAAGTGGGTGGACCCTGTCGGACGGGTATGAAGCTGCAGACTTAGTCGCTGCAAGCGGAACCAGTAAAAACAATGGAACATTTGAGCAACAAAAGAAAAAAGAAATAGATTTGCAGCAATTGATGGGCAGCATTTTTTTTTTCTATTTTCTTGTTACCAGTAGTTTGGCTACAAGCGAGAACAAGCAACATAGATGTTCTAATGGGTATGGACAAGGGCTGAGAAAATGGGCAGGAATTGAAAAATAACAGAATATTTGGTCGAGCAGCGATTTTAATTTTATGTTAATTAATGCTATAAGCACTATAAATAAATAGTACTAAATGTATGGTAAAAAAAACCGAAAACTCAAAGAAAAAAATTTCAATTATCATTAGTAAACAAATATTTATATTTTTATCATTATATCAACGCGCTTAAATCAACAAATTCACTTACAACTCGATCTATTGCGCACCACTGTGCGGCAAAAACAATGCGCCGCAAAGAAAAAATGCTCTCTCGAGCAGCAACAACAACAAAGGGCCCCTGGCCAGCAGACGAATCTGAAGACAAGAAAAAGGACGAAAAATACGCAAAAAAAAATGCATGACGGAACTGGACAGACGCAACGTCGTCCATTGGAGCAGGAGCAGCGAAGGTAGTGCGCGAGACGGAAAGAGAAACTACTTGGACCAGTGGGAGGGCTGAGAATGAAAGTGTACGATGAGTCCAAGCTCGCGCTCATGCTCGCACTCACACTCAAACCACTCTCACAGGCAGCTGTAAATGAGTGTGTGTGGAGCAGCTGGCCCATTGTTGGCGGACACTCGCACACATATTTATATGTGTGCGTGTGAAGCATTTTTTCTTTGCACTTCACTCAATTTCAATTTTTTTCTTTTATTTTGCCTCCTTTTCGCTCAGCAGCGATTGTCCTGTACTGCTGTTTCCTTCGAAAAGTTCAAAGTGGCAAGCCAAAGCGCGCTCTCACTCACACACATACACATATATATACACTGAGACACTTTGGCGACGTGCTGTGGGCAAAAAAAATACTCAGAGAGCAAGCAGAGCAGAAGAAAAAAAACGAAACGAATTCTGCACAGAAAATAAAAATTGTTTGCAAGAAAGAATGAAAGAAAAAATCGGAAAAAATGCAAGCCAAGTGGTTGCTGGGCGCAAAGGGAGGGTGGTAGAGAGTGAATGGGAAGGAAGGTAGCAGCATGCTGGCTGTTGGGTGTGCCCGCTATGTCTCCAACGCCAACCCCCCTATTAACTGGGTTGCTGCCATAGCCGTCGCCGCCGCCGTCGCCGCCGACTGCTGCTTCGCTGCTGTTGCTGGTGCTGCTGCGGCTGCCGTCGACGTCTGCTGTTGCTGTTCTGCTGCGCCCGTGTGTGTCAGTTTCAGCTGCTCACATAGTTGGCCGAAGATAAAGGTGACGTTGATGGCACCGGGGGGAAGCAATGCAATGCAATGGGGCCAACCAGGCGCAGGGTAGGGTAGGATAGGATGGGATAGGATAGGGTGCTGGCGATGGGAAGACCCTCAAGTGTTGGCATGCAAAAAATAAAAAATAAAGAATGAAAGAAAGAGAAAAAACAATAAATATAGCCAAGCACATGGCGGCGCTGTTGTCGCGGCATATGCATGCATGTGTGACACAAATACATATATATTCACACACACACACAAAGATTAATACATATGCTCAAGCACATGTAGTCTGTGTAAATGAATGTAACGACTTTATGTCTGCTGCGTATACACATACATACATATATATTTGTCTCGCAGTTAATCATCTACATGCGTTCAATAAGTGTCAGGAAGAAAGAGCGAGCTATTCGCTAAAAGCTTTCTACACAGTGCCCAGCATAATTAACGCTTAGCAAAAATCGAATCTAAGCTCTAGGCGAAAAAACAGCAACGATGGAAAAAAAAACTAAACCAAGTGGCAACACTGCCAGCGCCGTGTATGAAAGAGCTAGCAATAACCTATATGAAACATACATACACACACACTCACACAGATACAAAGTCCAGTTTGAGGTCCAGTCGCACTCAGCAGCCATACAACATTTTTCAAGGCGATGCAGACGCGCCAAAAAAAAGGGGGCCACCATGCAAAATCACACAAAAACAAAAGCAGCAACAACAACAGCAGCAGCAGCAGCGTCAAAATACGACGCACCAGGCGCTGGGCAAGACGAGGCGACGTCAACGTTGACGTCCACAAAGCTTCACATACAAAGCGACGCCATTGAAGTTGCGGTCGACGACGACGGCGAAGTCGCAACGCACAACGGCAAAAACATTCAAAAGTACAAGGGCAACTACAACAACAACAGCAACAACAAGAACGGCAACGAGACAGAAAATAAAAATGGGCGAAAAAGTTTTATACATAAAAGTGGTGGCCAAGCGCGGCAGGAGAGAAAGGCAGCAGAGCCACAGCACGAAACTCCAAGAACATGTGCAGAAACAACGGCGACGACGATGACGACGAAAGAGATACAAACAAACACAAGCTGTAGTATAGCTGTGTGTAGTTGCCACCTTTTTCTCCGCTCATTGGTAATTTGTGCAAGGAGGCGGCAAAGGCAGAGGAAGAGGCGGCGGCGACGGCGGCAGCGAGGGTCTCACACAGATGGCCGGCAAACTTTTGCAGCGAAAATAAAAATGGAGCGCACGTTTGTGACAAAAACAAAAAGCAAAAGCAAAACCAAAACTTGCAGCATGAATGGGAAGTTGTTGCCGTCGTCGTCGTCGCAGTCGTTGGCTGCCCGCCGTCTGAAGCCAGCGCCGCGCGCTCTGCGGACACCGTCTATGTGTGTGAGTGTGTGTGCGAGAGTGAGAGGGTGGGCCGCCGTTTGAGTGTTGCGTCAGCTTGAGTTTGAGCGTTTTTTATTTTGCTTTCTCTGTGTGTGTTGCTGTTGTTGCTGGCCAACGACTCAAGCCGGCATCACGTTTGCATTGAGTGAGAGCGATAATACGATGAGCCCGTTCGCCAGGAGCCATAGCTCTGGCACATTAATGCCAGCCACCAGTGTAGCCAAAAGGTTGCTGTCTTGGCTAAACACAAATGGTTGCTGCGTAAATAAGTTAATGCGTTAAGTGCTGGATAATTCGTTAAGTTGCGTGAAATTTGGTTTTTTAAAGGTAAATATTTGCAATATAATTTAATTGAATTAACTGTGTTAAACCAATTTTACCTGTTATAAACAATCTGAACAATTATAAACATATACTTTTCAAGTTTAAATTGAAATTGAATTATTAATTATTAATTTAAACTTTGCTACGTTCACAATATGGAAAGCAATAAAACCAATAATAAAATAATATTTGCAATACTCGTTGCGAACAGAGAACTGCATAAATAATCAATATTAATTAAAAGCTGCTCACATTCTTTATCAAAGGCAACAATAACGGGAACAACAACAGCAATCAACGGTTAATGAAGCGCACAAATAACAATTACAATGGCGTTCGTCAAATGCAAAGCAGCGCAGGGACAGAGAAAGAGAGCGAGATACAGGGAGAGCGAGAGGCAGGCGCACCAGAGAAACCAGAGAACTGACAAAAACCGGCGAGATAACGAATTCAAGCAATAATTGTGGGTGTATTTTGTGTGTGAGGGAGATAGAGAAAGATAGAGAGAGAGAGAGAGAAAGTATGTGTATGTGTGTGGCTATGTTGCTGATCAATTTAAAAAGAGATAAATACACTCACACATACATATATACTAACTGCTGCTGCTGTGTTTGTTGTTGTTCTCAATCAGTTTGTGCAGAGCCAAAGGTGCAGAATGTCCATGTGAATGGCTTATACAAATAGTAAGCGCATATACATACATACATATATACAAATACATATCTATATAAATCTATTCGAGATAAAAGGCCGTCGTTGCAAATGCGTGTCAAAGGTGCGGCTGCTGCATTTGCCACAGGCTTTTCACTCGGAAAAGCAGCCATAGAAAACTGTGTA